TGTTCTGGTGTAGTCTGGTAGAGTGGCCTTGAACTCAAAATTCTCCTGTGGCAGCCTGTTTAGTGGTGGGATTATAGATAGGACTATACTACCACACCTGTTATTCCTAAATTCTTCAACTTGAGTTTGATTGCTAAAAACAAAAAGTATACATAGTATGTTTGGTTTTTTAATGTATATACATGGAATATGAGGCAGCTATTGTAAAAAGTGGAAGACAGGATCCAAGAATAAATGAACTTAAGTCTGGGAATGTAGGTCAGTGGTAGAGCACTTGTCTAATGTATACACACCTCAGACTTTGGTTCTCAGCACAGGACGAAAACAAAACAAGAGCCTTTATCCTGGCATATTTAATTTCACGTGTGGGGGTGAGAAGGCGGCTCAGTGGATAAAGCACTAGTTACATAAGTTTGGGAACCGTGTAGAAGGTCGGCAGGCATGGAGGCCGAGACAGGATTTCATGCAGTAGCCCAGCCGTCCCCCACTGCTACCTCTTAAATGCTGGGACTAAGGTGGCTTACAAGTGTGAGTTCCCATGCCTGTTTTTTTGTTTTCTAATATGTGCATTTATGTCTTATAAATTTCCTTTTCAAGCCAGGCATATCTGCCCATGGCTGTAGTCACAGTGTAGGGAAGGCAAAGATGAAAGAACCACAGAGTTCAAGGCTCACTTGGTGATCTAATCATTGTTCTGTTGAGACTAATGGGATAGCCAATAAAATAAATAAATAAACATCTCTTTTAACACCACTTCGTTGTGCCTTGATAGCTCATACTATTTTATTCAGTGTGTTCCCAAGAAAACCCCCTATGGGGGAGCCATGGTGCACCTCAGCAGCAGAGCACTTACTCAGCATGCCTAAGGCCCTGGGTTCATCCCAGCACTGTAACAGAGAACTTGTTTGAAGATCCCCACCTTTACAAAGAAAGGAACAGAAAAAGGAAATCCCCTGCTGGGAGTTACTTAGAAGGGTTCTTTAGTTTCTAATTCCCAACCATTTGGGAATTATTCTGATCTTTAATGGATTTGTTTGATCATTTTGCGGTCAGATTTGCTACATAATCTCAGTTCTTTTTACATTTGTTGAGATTTGTTTCATAGTCAGCATAAGGTTTATCTTGATAGTTCTGTGGGTTCCTGAAAAGAGCATGTTTTGGCTGTGAAGTGTACTATGTAGACCTGCATGGCTGTTTGGTGGTGGCTGTGACCACCATGTAGGTGCTGGGTCCTTTTAAACTTGTGCCTGCTGAGCCAACTCTCCCTCACCACCAGCACTGGCCCCTCCCTTTTGGTCTTTTTTTTTTTTTTTTAATCCCTTCCTCTTTCATCCAGTGTTGAGAGCCAAAGTCAGGGTCCTGTGCTTGCCTTAGCAAGCATGCTGTTGCTGAGCTAAAGCCTCCGCTCTTAAATAGAAAACCTGTATAGGATGACATAGGAGAGGTGTAAGAAGTTGGAGCTTAGTGAAGGAAAAAAACAAACAGAGTTTTCTTAAAATTTAAGATTTTTTTTTGCCACCACAAAACATCCTGTTAATTCATATATAACCGAAAGAAGGATCTGTTACTATAGCTCAGTTAATAGAGTTCCTGCCTAGCGTGCCTAAATCCATAGGTTCGATTTCCAACACCGATAGACCAAGTATCGTAGAGACCAGCTTAAGCTACATAAGATCCTGTCTCAAAGTGGGGAAATGTGGAAAGATGACTACTGATGTATATAAAACAGATGGAAGCCACATTTCTTACAGAAGACGAGAAAAGATAAAGAAGTCTCAAAATGCAGTGATAAAGAGCAGTCCAGTTAGAGACAAAGGAATAAGATGTTTCCCTGGAGAGGACAAATGGTATGTGGTCAGAGTCAGTAGCCAGGAGGACGGTGGGGACTAAGATAAGGTAGGCCACACTCCTATTGAGATGTCAAGAATAGGAACTAGTACTCTTAAAAACTGACAGAGTTTTGGGGAAACTGGATTTCATACTTTTGGGTGGTACTATAAAATGTGTAGCCAACTGAAACATAGTTGGGTACCTTCTTAGAAAACTAAATATGTGTTTACCCTGTGAACCAGCAGCCGTGTCCCTCAGCATTGATCCTAGAGACATGAAAACTCACGTAAAAACCTGAACATGGATCTTCATAGCAGCTTTATTTTCCTTTAGGGTGTGTTATTTTGTTTGTTTGAGACAGACCTTGCTCTATAGCCGAGGCTGGCCTCAAACTCTTGCTTTGAGCTCCTTTCTTTGCAGTCTTTAGCATGAGCCACCACTTCCAACTACAGCATCGTAAGTTTTAAGGACATCACATGACAAAAGTCAACCTCACTACACTCACATCCATGCTTTTGGCAGCACCATTCACAATAACTGAGTCATAGAGCCAGCCTAGATGCCCACCCGCAGGTGAATGGGCAGAGGAGACGTGGTGCATCTGCCCAGTGGAGTTTTAGTCAGCCTCAAGCTATGAAAGTGGGCCTAAGGGAGCTGGATAGGAGAGAAGGATGGGGTGGAGTAGAGACAAACTCTGTGTATTCTCATGTAGAACCTGGATTTAAGTGGGGGGGGGGGTGGGACCAGTAGGAGGTGGAGAGGTACAGTAAGAAAGGTGATGGGTGGGTACAAGTCAAGTAAAAAGAGGCCTGTGCGCTTTCTGTGTGCTAAAATGTTTAAAGTCAAATATTGTATAATTTCATTTTTATAGGTTTAATAATGTCACAAAACTATGAATTTAAAAGCAAACAACTGAGTACCAGTGGTAGATGTGGCCATAAAAAGACAAGAGCAGTCTTTGTGGTAGTAGACTAATTCTAAACATTGGCACAAGATGATGGTTTTATAAAATGATGAGATGAACTAGTCTAGATCTGTGGGCTCACGTGCAATGTAGATGTTCTGATTCTTAGAGTACCACCCTCTAGATGTAGTGGTTAGGGGAAAATAGATGGAGTGTAGTCTGTATTGTACTTTTTAAAAGGTTAGTTCTTGTGAAACCATTAGCTCAAGGTAAAGCACTTTATAAAAATATTTTCTCATTTTAAAGAACTTATTTTTTAATCTATGTACATGTGATGGAGAGGTGAGTATATGCCAATGTGTACAGATGTCCACAGAGGCCAGAAGAAGATGTTGCATCCTCTGCAGTTGGAATTACAGGCTGTTTTGAACTGTCTGACCTGAATTTTGTGAACCAAACTTGGGTCTTCTAGAAGGGCAGGGAATGCTCTTAACTGCTGAACCATCTCTCTAGCCCCTATAAAAATATTTTTAAAGCCGTAAGTAAAGATAACATAAGTTCAAACAAGTTTTAGTAATTGGAGAGAGAAGTGTTTGTGCTAGGGTGTCATGTAGCCAAGGCTGGCCCTTACCCTGTGCACCTGAGGATGATTTTGAACTTCTGGTCCTCTTTCCCCAACCTCCTAAGTACTGGAATTATAGACCTGCACCACCTTGCCTAGTTTATAGGGTAATAAGTTTGAACTCAGGCCCTGGTGCATGCTAGGCAAGCATTCTACTAGCTTAGTCACATCCCCAGATCCCACTTGGAGCTCTAAGACTGCTAGCATCAGTATTTAACACTGCTTGGATATTCAAGAAGGTAAGACAATCGGTTCTTTGGTTTAACCAAATTGTCATGTTAACAACAGTAGGAAATTACACTTATTAAAAAGACAAGACTCCTGTGCTTCATCCTCAAGACAACAAAGCCCAGTGCAGTCAAGATTCATAGGAGCCGTGAGAGCCTGCTATTTCATCTTCGTGGAGATTTTGTGATTCTAAAGTATAAGTAAATGCACAAAGGTTAGGTATAAATATGTAAACGATTCTAACTGAAGAGACGTGGTCATCGACAGCAAGTGCATATTAAATTCAAGCTGGAAGAGCTCCTGACTGATGCTGCACAGGCAGAGCTTTTAAATAGCACTGGTTTTGGCAACACTCTGGGTTGAAAGTACAGGTCAGATCTCCTTTCACAGTGTCTATGCAGAAGTACACTGCCCATTGAGTAACAACAGTCTCACCATGTACTGAGTACCCTGTAAGAACTTTAACTCCCTAACCCTCTATTACTGCACTCTTCTTGCCTTTGCTGTTGAAGAAACTGGACTTCGCTTGTGTAACTTGAGCAAGACTGCACCAGTAGTATTTATGGAATCTGAGACTAGCACATTCCAGAGCTAAAGTTGGTGGGTATGTTAACAAATATGTTTCACTGGGAGGGTGTGTGTGTGTGTGTGTGTGTGTGTGTGTGTGTGTGTATTGCCACAGCCTATGTGTAGAGGCCTGAGAGTTGATCTTCTCCTTCTCCCATGTGGCTCCCTCGGGTCATCAGCAGGCTAGGCAGCAAGCTCTTTCACTGCTGATCCTCTCGCTAGTTCCCAGTGGCAGCCAGTAGAAGTCCTGTTACTATTCTCTGGGTATACTTGAATCTTACTGTTTCTAAATATCTTCAAGAAGCCTGGAGGAGGGGTGATCATTTTTTTTTAATCTGCAAACCAAAGGCAGTAGTGGTACAGGCTTTGCTCTCTTGTAGCTCACTGAGCTGATTGTCTCATCAGATATGTCCCTTTGTGAGAAATGACTGGGTAGGAGGAGGTTTCTTTAGATGTAAATGAATCCAGCCTTGGGATTATCCACTGTGCAGCTAGGCAAGCACCTAAGATCACGGTGGAAGACACAGTGAAAGGTTATGCATTCCCACTCTGTAGATATACAAAGTTTCAGTTCCTCTAGAGATGATTAAATAGTGTAGAATGAAATACACACACACACACACACACACACACACACACACACACGCACACACACACACACAAAAGGTCCAAGCTGTAATTTTTTATTTTTATTGAAGTCAAGGACTTTTACTCCAAATTTTAAATATGCTTAATTTCTTTTTCTTTTTTCTTTTCTTTTTTTTTTTAAAAAAAAGGTCAGCCTTGCTATTGTAGTTCCATGCGCTAAGGAATCTGGTAAATTGGTCTAATTTTGTCTTGTCTTTACAGGAGTATATCAAAGGAATTTGTGAGCCTGAACTGGAGGAGAGAGAATGCTACCCCACGGCCATGCACTGCATTTTTGTAGGAGCACAGAGTCTGTTTTTGAAGAGCCTAATTCAGGATACTTGTGCTGACCTCTGCGTTTTAGACTTCGGGCTTCTTGGCATCAGAGGAAGTGCTGAGGCTGTGGTCATGGCCAGGAGTCATATTCAGCAGTTTGTAAAGCTCTTCGAGAATAATGAGAACCTGCCCAGCAGTCAGAAGGAGTCAGAAATCAAACGGGAATTCCGACAGTTTGTTGAAGCTCATGCCGACAATTATACAATGGATTTGTTGATTTTGCCCACTTCCTTGAAAAAAGAACTACTGAGTCTCACACAAGGTGAAGAGAATCTGTTTGAAGCAGAAGATGATGATGTCATTAAAATTGGAGGTATTCACCCTCCAGAGTTGACGCAGAATGCTGCCACAGGACCAAGTATTGCTAGAGAGGAAAGTGTTTTACAAGAAGAGTCCAGAAATAAAACTAGGACCCCTGTTTCTGAGCTCACAAAACAAATGGATGCAGTCTTTTCTAGCTCCACAGATGTGCTCTTTGCCCCAGTAAATGGTCTAAATCTAGATGAAGATACACTTTCCACGGACAGAGTTTGTCACAAGAGGAGGTCTTCTGATACAGAAGAAAGGCACACCAAGAAGCAGTTTTCCTTGGAGAATGTTGTAGAAGGGGAGCTTCTACATGATGGCAAGGCCTCAGATGGAAATGAAGTCCTTGACCCGTGTGACACTGCTGCTTCCAACTCTACAAATCTAAGCCCCGATGGGAAAGACACCACGGAAGAAATGGAGTACAGCATCCTTGTAAACTTCTTCAGAACCATGGGCTACTCGCAAGAGATTGTCGAGAAGGTCATCAAGGAGTACGGGCCTTCTACAGAGCCCTTACTGCTCTTGGAGGAGATTGAAAAAGAGAATAAAAGACTCCAAGGAGACAGAGCGTTTGCACCTTGCACTGTGTGTCCAGATGCCACTCAGAGCAGAAGTGCAGGTGTTGGGAGCAGCATGAATGAGCTCACAGCAGTTTCTACTCCAAAGAACATACAGAGTCACGCAGAGCAAAACATGGTGGAAAAATTTTCCCAGTTACCGTTCAAAGACTCTAAACCATGTACCTCAAATTGCAGAGTTAATTCTTTCAGAACAGGGCCAGTAGGACAGAAACACGAAATGTGGGGCTCAAACCAGAACTACAGTTGTAATGTAGACCTTGAGACCGATGGCCTCTCACCCTCTGTTGCCTCTTCCAGTCCTAAAGAAGTCAGCTTCATTTCGAGGGGAGCCACAGGTCACCACCAGAGAAGCCCAGCTGTCCCTGAAAATGGCTTTCAACAGCAAGCGGAATCCTTGGCTCCCAGTAATGCGAAGGCTGCCTGTGAGAAACGTTCTGGCTGCTGTAGCTCTCCTCAGCCTAAGCCACACTATTCCCCTCCACCGCTGCCCCAGCTGTTACCTTCAGCTACCGATGCACGATTGGCTGGAACCTCTGAGCTTATGGATTCCTCAGTCACGGGGGTTCAGAGATTTCGAGATACCCTGAAAACACCGTACAAGCTGGAATTAAAAAATGAACCAGGGAAAGCTGATTTGAAGCATATTGTTATAGATGGGAGTAATGTTGCAATTACGTAAGTCTACTCTGTTCTTACCTAGTTCCCTTCAGCAGCATCTGAGAGCTGTGTGCGAGTGTGTGTGTGTGTGTGTGTGTGCGCGCGCACGTGCGCGTTCAGGACTGCATTCTGTTCTAGTGGATCTGGAGCCTTCGGGAGCCAGGGAAGGACCAGCTGCTTGGGAAGAGTTTTTGTTGTTGTGTCGTTTTTTGGAATTTTTTTTCTTTTTTTCTTTTTGTTTTTTCAAGACAGTGTTTCTCTGTGAACTTACTCTGTAGACCAGGCTAGTCTCGAATGCACAGAGATCTGCCTGCCTCTGCCTCCTGAGTGCTGGGGTTAAAGGTGTGTGTAACCACTACCTGGCTGGTTGGAAGGATTTTGCATTTCGTTTTCTGGAGTTCTAAGCTCTTGCTTGACCCTGTTGCTGTGGGTAGGGGAAGCTAAAGACTAT